ACACTGGAAGTTGTCCCAGAGGCTCCTTACATTATCCTCATTTTTTTTAATTATTATTATTTTTATTCTTTCTTCTTTTTGCTATTCTGATTGGGTGTTTTTTACTTCCTTATATTCCAAATTGATGGTTTGCTTCTTGGCTTCACCTACTCTACTATTGATTCCCTATAAATTATTCTTTATTTCAGTTAGTACATCCTTCATTTCTGACTGTGCATTCATCATTTCTGACTGGTCTTTTTTTATGTTCTTGAGGTCCTCACTAAGTTCCTTGAGCATCCTTATAACCAGTGTTTTGAACTCTGCATCAATTGCTTATCTCCATTTTGTTTAGTTATTTTCCTGAGTTTTGTTCTGTTCTTTCATTTGGGACATGTTTCTTTGTCTCCTCATTTTGGCTGCCTCCCTATGTTTGTTTCTATGTATTAGGTAGAGCTGCTATATTTCCTAGGCTTGGTAGGGTGGCCTATTGTAGTAGGTGTCCTGTAGGGTCCAATGGCACAGACTCTCTGATCACCAGCTGGGCCCTAGAAGTGTACCTTCTATGTGGACTGTGCATATGTCAGTTGTGATTGAGTTTTGATTGTTTTTGGCACATCAATGGGAGGGATTTACTCAGGCTGATCAGCTGCAAGGACTGGCTGTGCCCACTGACCACCGACCTCTGACCACCTTGGAGGATCAGCTGTACAGGGGCCACCACACAAAGCAAGACTTACTTCAGCAGGGCTCTGGTACCCACTGAGTCCACCCCTTGAGTATGTAGCTTATGGAGGTGCTTGGGTGGTGGTTCTTCAGCATGCGCTAAAGCTATCCACTGAATGTGTTGGCTCTGGGACCTCCCAGTAGGTGCAGACCAAGGTCATCCACTGTCTGCACAAGCTACAAAGCTATCTTCAGATGGTGCTTCTTGTACTGAGCTTAAAGATGCCCAGGGAAGGCCAAGCTGTGAACCAAGTCTGGTTGCTGCTAGTGCTAGGCCTGGAGCCACTTAGCAAGAGGTATGGGGCTCGCTGAGGCCAGATGCTGCTTATTTGAGAGAATTTAGGAAAATCCAAAGAATGAGCCCAGACAAGCCAGTCCTAGGTTAAAGCCTCTGGAAACAGCTTGGGTGGGCCTGAAAGGTGGGTGGGGCAGGGCCTCAGGGAATCACCAGGGTGGGGCAAATGGTGTGAGCTAGGTTGCTGGAGTCCCAGATATGGTGCCTATGTGCGGGCCCTGTAGGAACAACTGACAAGCTCACCAAAGGAACAACAACCTCTGCCAGCTCCTCTAACTGTGAGAAAGCTACCTGTCCAGCTCTTGCCCCAATGCCAAACAATTCAGTTTTTCCCCATATGTGTCTGGTGCCTCTCAAGCTGCCTTCCCTTGGCACCAGAGCTCAGAGGGAGCGAGTCCGAGTAAGTCCATGCCTGGGTCATTTAAGAGGAGCTGCCTGGGACTCTAGAAGCCTCAGCCTCCCTCAGCCTCAGTTCCCGCTGGTTTTTACAGTCAGAAGTTATGGGGACTTCTCTTCCTGGCACTGGAACCCTGAGCTGGGTGCTGGTGTGGAATGGCAACCCCTCAGTCCTCAGGGAGGACCTTCACAGCTGAGGCGGCCTCCTGATTTTTATCCACCACATGGGGGTGTGGTAGCAGCCCTCAGCTCCTCCGCCCCTCCTGCCTGTCTCGATGTGGCTTTTTAAATTTCGTAGTTGTAGGACTTCCATTCAGTTCAATTTCAGGTGGTTCTGGACAATAGATATTCTGTAGTTATTTGTAATTTTGAAGTGGTTGTGGAAGGAGGTGAGTACTGCATTTACCTACACCACCTTCTTGGCGGGAAGTCCCAATTAATACCATTTTTAATGTCATCCTTCACCAGCACATCCCCTCCCAACTGTGATCCGTAGGAAGAGATAGTGAAGCAAAAAAGTATCCCTGAAACTACAGGTGGGGATAGAATACTAGGAGGAAGAATGAGTGGACTCAAAAGAAGAGAGAAGATAGTATGCTCTTCCTCACATAGCTTCTTTATATTCCAAATCGATGGTTTGCTTCTTGGCTTTACTCTACTATTGAATCTGTGTAAATTATTCTTTATTTCAGTTAGTGCCTCCTTCATTTCTGACTGGTCCTTTTTTATGCTCTTGAGGCCCTCACTCAGTTCGCTGAAGTTCTCACTAAGTTCATTGAACATCCTTATAAGCAGTATTTTGAACTCAGCATCTGTTAGGTTGCTTATCTCCATTTCACTTAGTTCTTTTCCTGGAGTTTTGTTCTGTTCTTTCTTTAAGGACCAGTTTCTTTGTCTCCTCATTTTGGCTGCCTCCCTGTGTTTGTTTCTATGTGTTACTTAACGAGAGGTATGGGGCTAGCTGAGACCAGATGCTGCTTGTTTGAAAGAATTTAGGAAAACCTGAAGCAGGATCCAAGACAGGCCAATCCTATGGTAAAGCAACTGGCAACAGCTTAGGTGGGCCTGAAAGGTGGGTGGGGCAGGGGTCTCAGGAAGTCACCAGGGTGGGGCAACCAGTGTGAGCCAGGTTGCTGGAGTCCCAGATATAGCGGCTGTCTGCCACCCAAGGGAAGGGCTCACCAAAGGGACAAAGGCCTCTGACAGCTTGTCTCTCCAGGAGAAAGCCCCCTCTCTAGCCCTCGCTCCAATGCCAAACAACTCAGTTCTTCCCCATATGTCTCTGGTGCCTTTCAAGCTGCCTCCCCCACGCTGGAGCCTGGAGGGTGTGAGTCTGACAAAGTAAGTCCATGCGCGGGCCCTTTAAGAGGAGCTGCCTGGGGCTCCAGCCGCCTCAGCCTCCCTGAGCCTCATTTCCTGCTGGTTTTTCCAGCCAGAAGTTGTGGGGATTCTCTTCCTGGCACTGGAACCCTGAGCTGGGTGCCTGGTGTGGGACGGGGACCCCTCGGTCCTCAGGGAGGACCTTCCCAGCCGAGGTGTCCTCCTGATTCTTATTTGCCACACTTGGGTGTGGGACCAGCCCGTCTGCCTCCGCCCTCCTACCAGTCTCCATGTGGCTGCAGCTTTAATTCTGTAGTTGTAGGACTTCCATTCAGCTTGATTTCAGGCGGTTTTGAATGATGGTTGTTCTGTAGTTTAGTTGTAACTTTGATGTAGTTGTAGGAGGATGCGATACCACGCTTACCTACGCCGCCATCTTGACCGGAAGTCTCTTGGATTTTAGTTTTAGGTTTATAGAAAAATTGAGCAGAAAGTAAAGAGAGTTACCCCTGGCCCCAGTTTTCCCTAATATTAACATTTTTGCATTATTGTAGTATATCTGTTATAATTGATAAAAAAAAGTATTGATATGTTATTATTAACTAAAGTCCATTACATTAGAGTTCACTCTTTGTGTTATATGGTTCAGTGGGTTTTGACAAATGCATAATGTTATGGGTCTACAATTACAGTTTCATACAGAATAATTTCAGTGCCCTAAAAATCCCCTGTGCTTCACCTCGTCAATCCATCCTTCCTCCTCCAACCCTGGCTGCCACTGATATTTCTGTACTCTCTATGTACTGTCGCCATAGTTTTCCTTTTTTCAGGAAGTCATATAGTTGGAGTCATGCAATATGTAGCATTTCAGAGTGGCTCTTTTACTTAGCAATTTGAGTTTTCTCCTTGTCTTTTTGTAGCTTGATAGCTCATTTCTTTTTATCTCTCAATAATATTCTATTTTATGGAAACACCACAACATATTATACATTCACTTATTGAAGGACATCTTGGTTGTTTCCAAGTTTTGGTTATTATGAATCAAAGCTATATTGCTTCTATGAGCAGTCATGTGTAGGTTTTGTGTGGATGTAAGTTTTCAACTCATGTGGGTGAATATCAAGGAGAGCAAATGCTGGACCATATGGTAAGAGTATATTTAGTTTTGTAAGAATCTGTCAGACTGTTTTCCAAGGTGGCTGCACCATTGTGTATACCCACCAGCAATGAATGAGAGTTCTTTTTGCTTCACATCCCTGCCAGCATTTGGTGCCCTTTTTCTCCCATCAAACACAGCTACATCACTGTTCATTTGTACTGCATTTATTGTCAACCAAAATCCTTTAGATGTTTTTACATGACTTCACTGCTAAGTCACATTCTCTTCCTCCCAGACTTGTGCAGTTATTCTTTTGACTTTCCCAAGTGTTCTACCTTTCCATTGGTGCCTCTCCCAGGTACCCTGGGATCTCTTTTATTTATTAGGTGCACTTATTACTAACTGCTGTGTATTTGCTGTGAAGGACTTTGGGAGACTGAAGATCTGGAAACTAGAGGTGCCTGGGAGTTTACGTTCATCTCCCAACCAGGAGGGCCCGTAGACAATAACTGACTGGTGTGGAGGTACAAGCACCCAGTTCCCTTGTCTCAAGATTAGGACAACACTATGATACAATTTATATACTCCAGAACTCCTTGCAGGATCACACAGAAGCCAGGCTTAACCTAACCCACATTCTGTCTTCTCTCACTTCTTACAGTTTTCTCCTGAGACGACTTTAATAAATCACTTGTACTGTTGCTAGAGAATCTGACTTAATTTTATGACTTTTTTTTATTATAGCACACAATTGTTTTTAATATTTTAGACTATTATAACTATTCCTTTAAAATGGTATTGCTTAATTTCTAACAGTTTATTTTGAATTACTCATGCAGTATTCTTTGTATTTATTGAATCTCTAAGGTCTAGATTTTTTTTTTTTCAAAAATAAAAATCACCTCTCCAATATTATAATAAATGTGAATGGGAAAATCAGATTAATTTTATGGAGCTTCACTGTAAAGCAACCATGAATAGAATAGATCTATTTCATTCGGTGAGGAGTAGCTTACTGCATTTATGCATGTCACATCCTTTATTGAACTGCTTGACAGTGGTACCATTTTAGATGGTAGACACAATGTATTTCAGGGTCTCCTTAGTGTCAGGATTTCTTCTTGTGCCAAAAGCTTTTGTCTGAATATCTACTTTTTATTTTGTTTTTATTTTTTAATTTTTTAGTGGTGGACACCTACTTGATCAAAAAGCTTTTCTTCAATGAAAGGACCTTGTCTGTGTTTCCCTATTATGTATCTTTGGACATAGCTTTGTATGGAAGAGAGGAGCCCTTGAGAAAGTTGTCAGCACCATTCCTGGTGGCTCTGGATCCTCTCATCAGGAAGAATCTTGCAGAGAAAGCATCACCTGATTGATGTGAAAAATTATAAAAGGAGAAGGGGTCACTGTGCAGTAACATGTCCCCAAGTCAACTGTATGGGGCTGGAGGTAACACCCAGGTCTGCAGCCACCTGATTCACTCAAGGGAGAACAAAGATCAATGTCATCGAGACCTGAAAAGGAGACATTTTTTAAAAATGTTCTCATGTCATGTCTAACTATCAAGTCACCAAAATGAACGTGAAGCCAATGCTATGGGAGGACGTAAAAAAACAGCATAGAGGATGACAGGATTTTGATTGATATGTTCAAGGAGATGGTCATAATAATAGGTTGTTTGGAAGATGTGAAAAGAATTGTAACCCAACTAAAGACACCAACCGAAACATTGTGACAGAGAATGTGGCTGGTTCTTCTGGAAGGTTTTCTACTCTTCACATCAGTGCTTTGAAAGAGTCTATACCCACGGAGTTCTGAGTGTGGGAGACCATTGATAATGCTTTCGCCAGACATACCAGACTGATAAAGGAGAGTACAAGCGAAGAACGGCATTCCTGAGCAGTGAAGGGGATTGCTCAAGAAACCCATCCCAAGTCCTTCTGGAGTTTTCTGTTTGTTATACAAAGTAGAGTGTAAAAAGTTCTCTAAGGCTATTTTAAGCAAAGAAAATTTATATCGTTTTTTTGAGTTCAATCAGACAAGGAAAATACACTTTATTTCATGGGTCACTGCTGATCAAATGATGGCTGTTGCCTGAGCTCTGTGTTGAGGAAAATTTTGAGACGGTGTCTGGGTTGATTGAAAAAGCGTGCCGATACTAATGAATAATGTCTGTCACAGGTGCAGGGGAGAGAGTGGGGGTGACATGTGGCATGCTTTTCCCATCTGGCTCCTCTTCTGTGAAGAGCAGATTCAAGTACTGTGTCTTTCATTAGCTAGTAGTTTGAGCAAGTGGCTTCATCTCTTCACACATGTCTCCCTTGTAGGAGAATGAAGTTTCTGTACTGGATGATCTGTGTGGACTCTTTAAATACTATAAAATTATTTGATTGATTACTAGTCAAACTACTAATGCATTACTGGGGAGAACTATGGGGTATGTCTTACTGTAGGTTCTTCCAGAAGAGGACCTGAGGCAGATTCAAGTGCAAGTGATCTATTTATTTTCAATAATTTTTCTTTATTGATCTTAGAGAGAAAGGGAGAGGCAGAGAGAAGTAGAAACATCGATGACAAAGAACATTGATTAGCTGCCTCCAAAGAGTTACAAGTTTGATTCTGGTCAAGGGCCCATACCTCAGTTGCGGTTAGATCCCCGGCCCTGTTTGGGTCTTGCGGAGGCAACCAGTCAATGTGTCTCTCTCACGTAGCTGTTTCTCTCTCTCCTTCCCTCCCTCCCTCCTATTCTACCTGGAAAAAAAAAAAAAAAGGTCACTGGAAAAAATATCCTCGGGTAAGGATTTAAAAAACAAGTAAGTAGGAAAGTAAAGGACATTGGTAGGTTGCATTATCAAATCAAATCAGTTACCACTTAATCCCGCAGGAGAAATCAGAGTGAGTCTTATCTGGGAGGCAAGGTTGCTGGGATAGTTTTACACAAGTTCCTGTCAGTCATTGAATGAGGACTTGAGGGCAAGGGAGGGCAGCTTAATTTACCTGCACTTCCTCTCTGCTATGCTGGCAAGCAAAGCAGACTTGGTACTACATACAGAAAGTCCTCAGGCAGGAAATACACTTGCCATATGACTGAGGGGCCCTTAAATAGTAAGAGTCAGGGGAAATGGACAGGGTCTGCTAGGCTAGAATTCTTGGGGGAATAAATAAAAGAGCTCATTGGCAGTTGAGGTATAAAACACAGTTGATACTCAAACCTTGTGATAATAAATTACTTGCTTTTGAATCTTACAGTTGATTTTGAGTTGAGTTAGAGAAGTCTATGATATCTACTAGTTATTTTTTGTTTGGACACCTATGAGGAAAGTCTTCAGACAGCATTGCTTGGTAATGCTTTTTACTGTTTTCTTCACAGTCAAGAGACCATGCCAGCTGGAAAGATCGTCCTTCAAACAGAAATGTTATAGCCTCAGCCCAAACCAAAGGACTTTTCAACTTGGTGTTGGTAAGTGGAGACATTTCATATTTCTGTGTAAGTGGTTCTATTTAGTAAGTCTAGAAAGGAACAATGGGGTCCAATGAACTGGTTCTGTGATTTAAGGTCAACAATTAAGGTCATGTAAATTTAAGACGTCAAATTCACCTGAGGTTCATACAGCACTATACTTACCATCTCCTATACCCACCATGTTGTGCAAACCCACCTACGCAGACCAGCTGTAAAGCCAGCGCTGCCAGGGTTCAAATGCCACTCTACCACTGATAGCCGTTGATCTTGGTGAATATTCCCCTTATGCCTTAGTTCCCTTATCTGTAAATATGGATGATGATGATATTAGGGTTGTTGTGAGGTTTAAATAAAATAGTTCATATAAAAGGCTTTATTGCCTTCCTGGCACATAGTAAAGACTCAGAAAATGATAGCTATTATCATTATCCACTTACAACTAACCACTTCAAATTTCACCTCACCCCATTACTACTACAATCTAATTGAGAGAGAGATTACTTACCCTCATTTTACAGTTGAGAAACCTGAGGTCTTTCCACCACGCAGTCTACTGATTGTTAAACTCTTGTCAAATCATGTGAGGGAACCTATTCTCACCATTGGATGATGCTGTATAAACTTTGGAATCCTCTCAAACTCTTTCTTCTCTGAATTCCTTTCCCTATCGAGCTAGTTTCCAAGCTTCTGTGCACAATGTCTCTTGTACACACCCTTTCCTTTTCATCCCCTTAGTGCTGGCTTGGTCTCCTTACCTTTAGTCTCTCCCCCTGCAATCTGTCCTCTATATTGCTGTTTGATGCACATTCCAAAAACATTGTTTTGCCCTGGCCGGTTTGGCTCAGCGGTTAGAGCATCGGCCTGCGGTCTGGAGAGACCCGGGTTCGGTTCCCGCTAAGGGCATGTACCTCGGTTGCAGTTTGTCCCCGGCCCTGGTTGGTCGTGCGGGTGGCAGCCACTCGATGTGTCTCTTTCACGTCAATGTTTCTCTCTCTCTCTCTCTCCCTCCCACTCTATCTGTACAAAAAAATGGAAAAATGTCCTCGGGTGAGGAAAAAACAAACAAACAAACAAACAAACAAAAACATTGTTTTATCAGGTGCTCCCTACTGCCAATAGGGCAAAGTCCAGAAAAATGTGGGTTTTGAGAGTCCTCCATCATCTGGCCCCAAATCTGTTTTCAGCCCTGTCTGTAATCATTGAAACTCTCCTTTAGCCAAACTGGCCGACTCTCTGACCTTCGTCAGTTCCATGCCTTTTCTTAGGTGATAACCCACCTAGACTGCTTTCCTGCCTTGTTTCTACCTGTCCCAGTTACATACTTTATCCTCTCTGTAAAGACTTGACTAACCAATCCAATCAAAATGTTACCTATCGTTTTTGAAATTCTATAGCAATTGATAGTTGTATATGTAACTAGAATATTTTTGCTTACCTTGAACTGATTTGAACACTGAGACTATTTTACCTTTTACATGTTTGTATATTGAATCAGTAAGTAGAGAGTGGGGTGTAAGTGGGCTGGATCTAGTGTTTTTTTGGAAGGCTCACTCACTCTTGTCCCTGCAGGGAGTTTCTTGGGTCCAGAGATTAGTTTATGTTAACTAACCTCATATAAAGTTGAGGTGGAGCCCTGGCTGGTTTGGCTCAGTGGTTAGAGCGTCGGCCTGCGGTCCAGAGAGACCCGGGTTCAGTTCCTGCTAAGGGCACGTACCTCGGTTGCAGTTTGTCCCCGGCCCTGGTTGGTCATGCGGGTGGCAGCCACTCGATGTGTCCCTTTCATATCAATGTTTCTCTCTCTCTCTTTTCCTCTCTCCCTCCCACTCTATCTGAACAAAAAAATGAAAAAAGAAAAAACACAAAAAACATCCTCGGGTGAGGATTAAAATAAATAAATAAATAAATAAATAAATAAATAAATAAAGTTGAGGTGGACCCGTGAATGCCGATTGTTAACTTAGTGTGTGAAATAGAACTGCTATGTGGCCAGAGACATAGACACCTTTTAATTTACAGTGACGGGGAGCTCCTCAAGGAACCAGAATCCTCAAAATCCATGTGATTAGAACATTTTCCCTCCAAATTTGAACATAAAATTTGAATAAATTAAATGAGATAAATTGAGTATCTGATATCTATTGGCATCAGGCAATGACCCCATCTCACCAAAGAGATGGCCTCAGCACAGACATTGGAGAACTGAGTGCCCCAGACAAGCTTGTATGACACTGCCTACCTTCACTCCAGTGACCTTCCTTTGTTTAGGCCGTTAGGACTGGCCAGAACCCCCCTTTCAGATGGACCAATTCTTTCTTTCTGTGTACTCATTAAGTCAAAACAATTGCTCTCAGTTCCTGCCAGCCTAAAAGCAATTCTCTGTCTTCCTCAGTCTCTTTCAATCTATCTGTGTTTTTTTCTCAGTCTGTCTCACGATGTTTCTCGTTCTGCTTCTGCCTTTCATCCTTACTTTCGCTTTTTCTGTCTCTCATTGTCTGGTCTTTTTCAGTCATTTTCATAGTTCTACTCTGACTCCTAACATGTTGACTTGATGGTAGTGGGTAAAATATTTCTTTCAGGCAAACAGGTGGTCCAATCAGAAGTTTCTGCCTTATCTTATTTCACTGAGAAAATGTTGATACTCCTACTGCTACAAAGCATTTTTTTCTGATTTCCTTAACAAAAGAACACTCAGCAGTGTAACCGACTAGGAGATGTGGTGATGTTTGGATTTATGTCAAAGGGAAAGAAAGAGGAGGCCTGGGAAGAGAGGGGCCCCAGCAAGTTTGCTCCTCCTGCAGGAGCTGGCTATTCTTTCATCCGGCTTCTTTCTTTTCAGGTATCTTCGGCACTCTCACCAACCCTAAGTCCACAATGTATGAAATGAAAATTGGTGCGATTACTTTCCAGGTTGCTCTCGGAGATATTGCAAAAGAAAGTGCAGATGTTATTGTAAACTCAACAAGAAGGCCGTTTAATCTGAAATTAGGTACGTACTTCATTTGAGTAATATACTTGACTATAACTATTAACATGACTAATTTCTGGAGGAACATTGTGGCTAATGTTTACAGAGAAGTGGGTAGTAAATATGCAGGCCCTGGAATCAGAGAGACCTGGGTCTGAATCCCAGATACGCCACTTACCATTTTGTGGCCTTGGACAAATCACTTAACCTCTCGGGGCCTGAGTTTCTCTGCTTGTCAAATGCCTGTTTCCCAAAGAAGCACTAGATGGGGTACAAGTGATATAAAGGTGGGGTGTAACTGATGCATTGTATTTAGTCAATGTCTCATCCCTTTGTTAGCTCTGAACTACCAAATTCTACACTTATAATTTATTCAGCTTTAAGTTCTTTTATTTTTATTTCCTTTTTAATGTAACTCAGTTGGTATTCACATCTTACCTCCTGCAACTCTTCTCTACACTATAATGACCCAAAGTGAAATTCGATCTCTTTTTCTTGATTTTCCCTAAAATATTTGACCACCCCCATTGATATATCACTTTTGTCTATTCCCCACATGTCTATTCATTTATGTTATATACATATACTCATATGCTGATGCATTTTATATATTACAAAACATTAATTTTTAAATGCAAAGGGCAAGATAAAACATAAATAGAAGTAGAAATTTAAATATTTTCTAAATGCAAAATATTATGGAACTTACTGTGCAGAAGTGAATCTGCAGAATATCCATTCAATTAAGAAAAATCCAGAACATTCAACCATTTAAAACATCATAAGTTGAACATATGCATTTATCTTTGCCCCCTCTTGAAACGCCATAAAAGCAATAGTAAAGGAATTAAAAGGGTATAAAGCCACAGAGAACAAGAAAGTTGGAGGGAAAACAACAGTGAACAGAGAGAAGCATATTTTCAGAAGATGGGAAGCAGCTAGGCAGTGGAGGTAACTGACATGGAATGGAGAAAATGTTCCCGCAGGAGAGAGCAGCAGCTCCTAGAAATGCAAGAACTGCAGGCAGCAGGAACCTGGGAAGGCAGAGGCTACAAAGAGATGAAAATGGAACTGGATGAAATTCTGTATCGGTAGCACTTAGACCTCTTGATGCTGTTCCACATCCTGTGTAGTAGTAACTTCCTTTGCTCTTTCCTGGCCAGAGATGGGAGGTGTATTTTTTAGAGAAACTGAACCAGAGAGATTCCTAGACTTAGCACACCAGGAATGGGTGAGATGGGAGTGGGGAGCTAACTGAAAACAGGATTTCAGTGAAGTCTCTGTACTGAACAGTGAGTGCCCAACCCCTGTCTCTGCAAGGCTTCCAGAACAGCAGGTGGGTTTTGCCTTCCAGACAAGTGATGGGAGGATCTTTCTGGAGCAAACCTGACTGTCCTAAGTCCAGTATTTACTGCCTGCTCACCTTACACTGAAGCCTATCAGTCACCAAACGGAGCTTCCCAGCTCACACTTAAATATGAATGAAGTGACAAGTATCACCTAATATTTGAGGAAAACCACTGCAAAGTTGGAGACCAAAACAAACAAACTGAAAAACAGGAGATTTTTTTAAAAAGAGACAATACATAACACACATAATCAAGGAGATATAAGTAGACAGATGATAGATCAGTCGATCTTTATGATGACAGAACTAACATTTATTTAATACTTTATGTATGCTAGGTTCTGTGCTAAGCATTTATTTAATACTTTGTGTGTGCTAAGCATTTTTCATCCATTATCTCTTTGATGTTCTAATAACCCTGTAAGGAACTGACTAGTCACATATTAGCTAGTAAGTGGTGCAGTCAACTCCCACCCATTGGGTCCAAATGCAAAGTCCATGTTTTCCACCACTTGACCCAGCTGTCCTTAGATGTGAGCAAGGTGGTGAAGCTGCAGCCTGATCGGAACAGTCACTGGACTGAAGCCAGCCAACTATCTGTCTAATTATGAAAAGCCAAACCAAACAAAATTAAATAACAAAATCACAAAACTTAAGTAAAATGCTTCGGTTTATTCAAGTTTTGAGATCCATGCTTCTCATTCACATCAGAACTTTTATTTTTATATTTTTTATTCAATTTTGTAAAATAATAAGCATAGAATGCAAGAAAGACCCCTTAAATAACTGCAAAAATACCCTGCTACAAACAGAGGCAGTAAAGCTGCAGACATTGGAGACTTTCAGCTATTGGGCAGTGCCCTCATCCTGTGGATCAAATTGTTTATTCAGCAGCCATTGAATGAAGTTGCTGTAGAAAAGATGGTTTTTGAGGAAGGGGGGTATCCATGGATTATGCAAAGGGTGAGCTGAATAAAGTCTAATGTGCAAAAGCTATAACCACTTACTGAATTTTAACAGATGCTTTATATCATCAATGTCTTCTGCAGGGGTATCAAAAGCGATTTTAGAAGGTGCTGGACAAGCTGTGGAAGATGAATGTGCTGTACTAGGTATGGTCACATGTTGCTTTCTCCTACAACCCATTGAAAATTAGAGGGCTGAGAATACTATGAGAGGATCCGTGGGTGGAATAAGTGGTGAGCGCTTTGGGAGAGCAAATGTAGGTGGTATATGACGTGGCGGCTGTAGGGGAGAGGTCCTTTATCCCGCCCTCCCACCTGTCTCTTCCTGAGAATTAAAGAATCTAGGCAGGGTCCTACTAATCCAGGCTCCACCACGTATGGAGGGATCCTGGGCACGTCATCTAACCTCTATGAGCTTTGCTCCTCTTACCCGTAAGACCGTTCTACTGATGGGAAGTAGGTAATGGCTGTTCCACACGTGGTTGTAAGGATGAGAAGGAACAATGAGTGCAAAAAAGTTTTATATGTTGTAAAGGGCTGCACAAATTACCTTTCACTTTCCCCAATCTTGTCTTCATATAGCACACCATATACACACTACTCCTTTGTGAATGAATACAGGACCCTCCTACCTTGAGTTAGCTCCAGATCCCACAAGTTAAAGGTCTTAGTCCCACAAGACTGCCCCACTTCAAATGCTAGTCATAAGTCCCAGGGGCCGCCTGTCTTTCTGACTGGCTGGCTAGAGATTCAGAGGTTCCCAATAACCCTTCCTTAGGTTCAACAGTTTACTAGAACAACTCACAGAACTCAGTAAAACACTTTTCTTACATTTACTAGTACACTATAAAGAATACAACTCAGGAACAGCCAAGTGAAAAAAATATGTCAAATGACAAAGCTAAAACGGTGCAGTAAGAGTTTGACATCCTTTATTCAAGGAGAACAACCCCTGGGTGGGGGGGTGGGGGGGCATGCAGGGCCTCATGAGCGGGGAGCTCTCTTCCTGAGGGGTTGTGGGCAAGGGCGAGTTTTACCCAGGGTTAGAAGTGGAACGGCAGAAACAGTGTGTGACCGGCTGGGGCTGCACATCTGACCTTAGGTAGAAAGATCAAGGAGCAAGGAGATAAGTATAGAGCCCAGGGTTGGCTCAGAGTTGGGGATTGGCTGGCTGGGTATGCTGCATTTCTGGTCAAGCGGAGCATTAGGAAAACGAAAGTTTGGTTTGAAAGTTCAGTTTGCTGGTGTGGCACCCCAGCAGGAGTGGACCTACAGATGTATTCCAGCATGGGACAGGCGTGGGGGAGGGGTACAGAGCTTCCCTGCCCTTTCCAGATGCGCCGCCCTACTAGCACCTGGAGGTGCTCACCAACTAGAAAGTTCCTGAACTCTGTCGTTTAGGGGTTTTTGTGGAGGTATAATTATGTAGGCATGATTAATTAAAACCTTGAACTGTGATTGAACTCAATCTCTAGCCCCAGAGATCAGGGGGTGGGGCCGAGAGTTCCAATCCTGGAATGATGGCTTGGTCTTTCTGGAGCTCTCTAGCTCTATCCCCCATGCTCCAAGAGTCATCTCATTAGTATATAAAAGATGCTCTTTTCACTCATGAGATTAGAAGGGCTCCGGGAATTCTGAACCAGGAGCCAGACTTATATTTCATTATAACAGAGTGAGGAACCTGTACGAGTGATCATAAACTATTCATCCTTCAAAATCAGGCCTGAACCTTGTGGAGGAGACAGTCAGCTGCGAGTGCGATTTGAAGAAGTCATAATGTTTCATGTTTGATAATACATTCCCACCACTTGACCTACTATCGTGCCTGAAGCTCCCACCTTAATAGCTCTCCTCTGATTAAGACATTTTCTCTGGAGTGAACAAACTCCTGGAGAGAGATCAAAGGATGGCAATATTGATCCCAACATGAGGACATTAGCATAAATCTGTGTGCTGAAAGAGCTAGCTGTACCTTAGAAGGCAGAAGCAGAGAATAAAGCTGGGCTGAACGGCTAGAAACTCTGAGGATGAGACCTGGGGAGGAGAGCAGATAAGATACCCGAGGGGCAGCAAGGAGTGCCTGGGAGATGGGAGCTCACCAGGAGGGCAGGGTGGAGTGGGCAAGGACCAACTCTCCTCCAGTGTTTTCCAGGAGCCCTGCTTTACTAGGGTACAAAAAGATGGCGACTTAAAACAAGGCCTGATGATTTCCCCGTGCTCAAGCTCTGTGGGTCCTGAGGGAGGGGAAGTTTTCAACCTTTCACACCTCCACACCACAGAATACATTACTTTCACCTCCTTGAAAAAGGAATCTGGCTGAATGAGCATGTATATTACTATTCTGGACAGTACAGTGGGAGTTAAGAGCTCTGGACACTGATGCTTGGGTTCAAATCCTGAGAAGTCTTGGGCTGCTGACCTTAACTTCTCTGTGCTTCTGTTTAATCTGTGAAATGGAGAAAGTAAAACCTATGTCCTAGGCTTGTTTTGAGGATTGAGTGGATTAATGCAGGTAGAGTGCTTTTGAAGATCGCTGGAAGTATTCAGCAATGGAGAATCCAGATTGTAAAGGAAATGAGCCTGTCACAGTCCCGGTGAGTGAAACCAGCTAGATCGAGGGAGGCTGGACCTGGTCAGGAATCTTCACGGCGTTTTCTGACATCAGCACTTTTCATTTCTCCGTAATCAGCATTGCTTCCCATAAATAATGTGCTGTGTCTGTTTCTTTCGCTTCCTTTTTTTCTCCCCACAGCGAAACAGTTTCACAGAGATTTTATAGTTACACAAGGAGGATACTTAATGTGCAAGATAATAATTCATGTTCTTGGGGACAATGATGTCAGGAAGACGGTTTCCAGTGTTCTAGAAGAGTGTGAACAGAGGAAGCACACATCTGTTTGCCTTCCCGCCATTGGAACAGGTTTGAAGCCGCTCATCACTCAAAGATTCTGAATAATCCAGATTCCTTTAGACAGCCTCACACCGAATGAATTCAGTGCTGAGTCCAGAAGGCGATAGTGAAGTAACTCAGAGAGTGGGCAGGCAACCTTACAGACCCTTCCAGGGCCACCTGTGGGACCTGCGCCTCTTTCATGCATCTTTTTCTTTTTTTTTTTCATCTTTATTGTTGAATGTATTACAGATATCTTCATTTTTCCCCCATTGACCCTCTCCTCCCCACTCCCGCCCCCTCCTGCTTTTTCCCACACTGTAGTCTGTGTCCATTGGTTATGCATATAAGTTCTTTGGTTTATTTCTTCCCATCCCTCAAACCCCTCTTCCCTTTGAGGTTTGTCAGTCTAGCAACCAATTTGTTCTTCTTAATCCCTACACCATTTTCACCCATTCCTCCAACCCCCCCTTCCATCTGGCAACCAACAAAATGTTCTCTGTATCTATGAGAATGTTTCTGTTCTGCCTGTTCATTTTGTTTGTAGATTCCATTGTCGGTAGATATGTATTCATTGCCATTTTGTTTTTTTTCATATATTTTATCTTTTTCTTCAAAAACACCCTTCAACATTTCATATAATAATGGTTTGGTGGTGATGAACTCCTCTAACTTTTTCTTGTCTGGGAAACTCTTTATATGACCATCGATTCTAAATGACAGCTTTGCAGGATAGAGTTATCTTGGTTGTAGGTTCTTGCTTCTCATCACTCTGAATATTTCTTGCCACTCCCTTCTGGCCTGCAAAGTTTCTTTTGAGAAATCAGCTGACAGCCTTATGGGAACGCCCTTGTAGGTAACTAGCTGCTTTTCTCTTGCTGCTTTTAAGATTCTCTCTTTGTCTTGAACCTTTTACATTTTGATGATGTGTCTTGGTGTGAGCCTCTTGGGGTTCATCTTGTTTGGGACTCTTTGTGCTTCCTGGACTTGTATGTCTGTTTCCTTCACCAAGTTAGGGAAGTTTTCTGCCATTATTGTTTCCAATAGTTTTTGATTTCTTGTTCTCTCTCTTCTCCTTCCGGCACCCCCAAGATGTGAATGTTAGCATGCTTGAAGTTGTCCCAGAGGCGCCTTACACTATCCTAATTTTTTTTTTTATTCTTTTTTCTTTTTGCTGTTCTGATTGGGTGTTTTTTGCTTCCTTATATTCCAAATCGATGGTTTGCTTCTTGGCTTTACTCTACTATTGAATCTGTGTAAATTATTCTTTATTTCAGTTAGTGCCTCCTTCATTTCTGACTGGTCCTTTTTTATGCTCTTGAGGCCCTCACTAAGTTTGCTAAGGTTTTCACTAAGTTTATTGAGCATCTTTATAAGCAGTATTTTGAACTCAGCATCTGTTAGGTTGCTTATCTCCATTTCACTTAGTTCTTTTCCTGGAGATTTTTTCTGTTTTTCATTTGGGACCTGTTTCCCTGTCTCTTCATTTTGGCTGCCTCCCCATATTTGTTTCTATGTATTACTTAACGGGAGGTATGGGGCTAGCTGAGACCAGATGCTGCTCATTTGAAACACTTTAGGAAAACCTGAAGCAGGGTCCAAGACAGGCTAATCCTATGGTTAAGCAACTGGCAACAGCTTGGGTGGGCCTGAAAGTTGGGTGGGGTGGGGCGGGGCCTCAGGCAATCACCAGGGCAGGGTAACCAGTGTGAGCCAGGTTGCCGGAGTCCAAGATATGACGACTGTCTGCCGCCCCAGGGAAGGACTCACCAAAGGAACAAAGGCCTCTGACAACACATTTGTCCTGGAGAAAGCCCCCTCTCTAGCCCTCACTCCAATGCCAAACAGCTCAGTTCTTCCCTGTATGTCTCTGGCGCCCCTCAAGCTGCCTCCCCTCCAAGCTTAGAGGGAGAGAGTCCAATAAGTCTGAGCGCGGGCCCTTTAAGAGGAGCTGCCTGGGGCTCCAGCCGCCTCAGCCTCCCTGAGCCTCAGTTCCTGCTGTTTTTTTCAGCCAGAAGTTATAGGGGATCTCTTCCTGGCACTGGAACCCTGAGCGGGGTGCCTGGTGTGGGACGGGGACCCCTCAGTCCTCAGGGAGGACCTTCCCAGCTGAGGTGTCCTCCTGATTTTTATCTGCCACAAGTGGGTGTGGGACCAGCCTGTCATGCCTCTGCCCCTCCTACCAGTCTCAATGTGGCTGCTGCTTTAATTCCGTAGTTGTAGGACTTCCATTCAGCTTGATTTCAGGTGGTTTTGAATGTTGGTTGTTCTGTAGTTTAGTTGTAACTTTTTCTCTCTTTTTTTTTTATTTTAGGTTTCCTAAGTATCTTTCCATGTTTGGCCCTTAACTTCATGGTTTTCTCACTGTTCTTTTTCCCCCTTTGGGGAATTCATTTGCTCTATTATATCAAAGACCATTTCTGCACTGACTCCCAAATCAGCATTTCTAAACTTCTCCAGGATCTCCTCTGGGAGATTTCTCTGTCACCAAAACCCTGATTACATCACAGTCCAAACTCATCATCATCCCTTGAGTTGTCTCATTTCTAGTTTCCTCCTTCAGTGGTGCCATGAGCTCCCAGCTGTTCTGCCACCCTTGCTTCTTTGTGTCCCAGACCCCGGTAGTCAGCAAGTCCTATTAAATCTTCTTCCGGGGGGCTGTTCAGTTTCAGCCTTTTGCTGTTCAGTTTCAGCCTTCCTTTTAGTTTCTAAATCTTTAAGACCGCTCCCATCTTCTTTACTGCGGTGTTTCCCAACTGGTTCCTCATTCGTGCCTTCATTAGATTGAAATGCAGTCACCCAGGTCCTGTGCAAGGCACTGGGAATCAAACCACGAGTAAGATGCAGTCCTTCTCCTCAACTACAGTTTCCAGGGACACTTTCCTCATCCTCTTGATCATTTCATATAATCATTTACTCCTAGTTGAAGATAATGTTAATAACTCACTCCCTGATTCACTCACACCCAATTGCACAGGCTTTTTAAAAGCCCTCAGAGGGGCCCTGATAATGCCTTCACACGGTTATTTGATTTAGTAAAACTTCATAAGTGAGCTATTTTAACCGCCATGGGTGAAGACCACTGTCACTTCCTACTTAGACTTCTCAGTCCTCCCTAGTAGCTGCCAGCACTTTCGGAAAACAGCTAAGACAAGATGACTTGGGAATACGGTTTTCAGCATTTAAAAATGTATACTTTGTTGTGATTTCTTTTCTGATTCTAAATATTCACTTTTGTCATAATTTTATATTTGTAATTTTATATTCTTTTTCTGAGATGTATAAATTTCAAAACCTACAGAACCGGGACCCAGCCTTGACTTAGTTTCCCCATTTTGTAGACAAGAACTTAAAGTATGAACGCACAAGATTACACAGCTAGTAAGCAACATAACTTGGTTCAAACCCAGGTAGCCTAGTTTCTACATTTCAACTATCCCCCCCCCCTTTTTTTTTTTATAACATTATTTGTTTTTACCACTATGTTATTAGAGTGGCCTCTAATCCAATATAACTGGTGTCCTTGTTAGAAGAGGAGATTAGGACACTGACCAATACAGAAGGAAGACCATGTGAAGACAGCAAGGAGATGGCCATCTACTAGCCTAGAAGACAGGCCTCAGAAGAAACTAATCTTTCCAAAACCTTGACCTCAGATTTTTTTTTTTTTTTTTTTGGTACGTGCCCCTAGTGGGAACTGAACCTGGAACTCTCTGGTCCACAGGCTGATGCTCCAATCACTGAGCCAAACCGGCCAGGGCTGACCTCAGACTTTTACCCTCCAGAATTTTAAGAAAATGAATTTCTGTTGCTAAAGCCATCAGCCTGTGGCACCTTGTTATGGCAGCCCTAGCAAACTAATATAAGAAGGATCAAATGACTTATCTTAGATCACACAGCTAATCATTAGAGCGCCAGAACATAAACCCAGATCTTCTGATCCAAATCACCATTCTTTTCTCTGCACTTCCAGTACCCTTCAGCAAAAACCACTAGGAACACACACTATGGGGGACTCTGCAGCAGCATCTCAGCAAGAGGTTGTGAGAAAGGACTTATTCATAGATTTATTTGAGATTGTGTCAGGCAATTTTATGGCAGTCGAAAGTAAGTAGGACTTTGCTCTGAATTGGATACTTTCAGGGAGCAGACATAATTCTATGACTGGGTGTCTTATGTAGAAGAGAAGAGTGTAGCTAAAGCTGTGATTGGTAATGGAGGAATGATTGCTTATATTAGTCCAGATGGGGGGCGTTGAGCCATTTATGTGGTTTGGATAGTGTTCGTATTTTTATCTGTGGTCAGACGTGACTCTGCAGTGGTCTCATTTTGGTTTAATTCATCATGGTTACATAGTGGTTCCATTTGATGATGTTCTGTGAAATTGTCTCTGTTCAGCTGGGGAACACCAAGGCCCGGCTGTGAGTGCCAGGCCAGTTCCTGGCTGTTGGTGCTGCTTTCCTCTTTTCCAGTACCAAGAACTGCATTTGTGACATCTGGTCACATGACCAACACCAGCTGAAACTTTTTTTGTCACTTAAAAAAATTTTGTTTTCCAGGAAATGCTGGGAAAAACCCAACTAAAGTTGCTGATGACATAATCAATGCTATTGTAGACTTCACACAGAAATATTCTACGCCATCATTAAACAAAGTGAAAGTTGTCATCTTTCTAACTGAGCTGCTAAATGTTTTCTATGATAATATGAAGAAAAGAGAAATAACCATATCACCTACCTTTCAGTCCACATCCCCCCAAAATGCATGTAAGATGTTCTTTTAAAAATTATATGGTCACCTCTAATATCACTTAGAACATATTTAGATGTGAATACTCATGGTTTTTATCAGTTTCAGGACATTCCAGACAACCTCCTATAATATTTGGGGAAAGTACAAGAACTAAGGATCACTATCTCCCGTCAACTGATTGTTCTTCTGAGAGACAAAATTGTACCTGGGAAACAGGAAAAACAAATAAACAGGACAAGGAGAGAAGAGGTGAGAAAGTGGAAAGAGCGGAATAGACGTTGAAAATCCAAGCCAATGATCTCATTCTTTTCCTTTTTGATTGGTATTGACCCTCAGTGCCCCTTGTAGCTATGTACTACTGGTCAGTAACCTCTAGACAAGTTAGCCTGAGAACAGAAGCAGATGCAAGAAGAGTGGGCAGGGTCCTCTGGTCACACCACATCATGAGCAGACAGATTCCTGCTGTGAAAGTGTCTGTGCTGACCTGCTCCTCTGATCTAGCTTTCTCCCATTTTGTGACTTCTATTAAAATAACTAAAAATGCAGCCTCCTCTTGCAATCACGGTTTTTACCTGTTTTGAGCCCTTCCCAGAAAGCACTGTGAATTTTACTGGTAATGAGGCATACCTGCCACCAGCAGCCTTCCTCAACTGAGAATTGTTGTCTGTCAGCAGGAATTTCATTTCTCCCTACACTTATTTCCTGACAACTATTCTCCTCAATGTGTTGCAACAGACAGTGCATGTAAGAGCTCTACATACTCACCTAAAATAAATAAAAATAATACTTGGATCTGTTAAGGCTCTGGACGTAACAAGTAATAAAAAATCCAGTTTAAACTAGCTTAAGCAAAAAAGTGGAATTCATTGACTCACAAATCTATAAAGTCCAGATATACTTGGCTTTAGGTCCAGTTTGATCCAGGTGCTCAGTCATCTGGACTCTGACTTTCTTCATCTTTCATTCTCTTCTCAGCTGGGTTGTCTTTATGATCAGGCTTCACATAGTGAAAGATGGCTGCACACAGCTTCAGATCCATATCCTTGTATGATCAGGTCCAGTAGGAAAGAGAGCATCCAGTAGCAATATATCCTATCAGGAGCATGATGCCTGGGAACAGAAGTATCATTATAAGGCCTGAGATTCCTTCTAATTGGACCAGCTTAGGTCATCTTTGCAGAATTACATGAACTGGCCAAGTCAGAGTCACATGCTCTACACTTGAATTGGGGGCAGGGGAGGTCACTACCTGAAGCAATGGGGAAGGGCTGTCCTCCAAAGAGAAAATTTAGGACACTTTCACCAGGAAAAAGGGGAAAGGATGCCAGACAGTTAAAAATAATACATATCTACTATTGTATCTGGGGATATATAAATGAACAATTTTTTCCTTTGGTTTTTGTAGGGGAAATTTTAAATAAAATATAAGTGTAGTAAGTCATTATTAGTAAAGTAAAAAATGAAGTTAAACTTGTTTATCAAGAACTTAAATTGACTTATGAAATTCATATAATAAAATAGGAACATTAAAGAGAGAAAGAAACAAAAAAATGACAAAAATAAGCAAACAAATGCCCATATGGTACTTGACACAAAAACAAACAACAACAAAACTGCCTCACATAATCTTTGTTGTTAGATAAAAGGAATAATACAGAATAAAATGTTGGATAAAAGGAAGTTAATCGGCAAAGATAAACTTTGCCTTTAGTAAGAATTTACCATATGGACTTCTTTAAAAGAACTTAAAGAAGCTTGCTTTGAGTTTCATTTGAGCAAGTGATACACAATTACTTTCCCAATGTAGGTTACAGCTATTTATTGATTCCAAGAGCACTTATTAAGCACCAACTGTTTATCAGAATATATGTATATTTGGGAATCATGTAAGTAGGTGGGAGTTGAAGCCATTGAGTGTGGATTGGATCACCCAAGGAGAGTGTGAAGGGTGAAGAGAGTGGAGACTGAGGGAAGAGCCAGGACTTTTGGTGTTTAATCCTACCTCCACATGTGGAGGGAGACAGAGGCAGATGCACAGGGAGACGTGTAGGAGGGCATTTATCTTCAACACCAGGAGCAGGAGAGGAGATGGACATTGCTCTTTTATTTAATTAATTAATTAAAATCCTACCAAGTATATTTTTCCATTTATCTTTAGATAGAGTGGGAGTGGGGAGGGAGAGAGAGTGAGAGAGAGACATTGATGTGAGAGAGACACGTCGACTGGTTGTCTCCTACATGTCAGGGTGAGGGACTGAACTGCAACCAAGGTTCGTGCCCTTCACCGGAATCGAACCCACAACTCTTTGATCTGCAGGCTGACGCTCTAATCACTGAGCCAAAGCAGCCAGGGTGGACATTGCTCTTTTAGAAGAGATTTATAGGAAAAGAACTCAAGGACGTGCCTAGTAAACTCTTAAAGAAAGGTGGCTGTTATGTGTGTTTTTTTATGAAGTACTGAGCTGCATGACAATAGAGCACAATTCTGTTCCTTACTTTAGTGGTGGCCTTCCATGTAATGTTGGATGCTTGAGTAGTCAGCTTTTCTGGGACTCATTTTTCTTATCCTTAAATTGTTCAGCCAGAGACACCTTTGGTCCACAGGTGGAGTAGGTAGCACAGTTTGGAGTGGCTTAAGGGTATGATTTTAAAGTCCTTCCTCTCAAGAAAATACCCTTGGCTTTACCCAGTACCCTTTTTAAGTATAAATACCTCTGGGATGTAGAAAAGATCAAGCGTAATAATTTTTTAAGAACAATAACCATATGTTTGTAAAGGACTTGGTATTCCCTAAAGTGCTTTCTTTAATACCTCTTATTATATTTTAAACTTGTAACAATCCCATGAGGTGGTAAAGAGAGCAGATTTTATCATCACCAGTTTAAAGATGAGAAATGAAGGCTCAGATGGCTGGTCACAGGTTGAAGCTTATCAGGTCTTCTGACACTAAGTGCTAGTAGTTTTCTGCTCTGCAACCTCACGGTATGAAAGGAAGGGAACACTCTCCTTACTTTCCTGTCTTGCCTACTGCATTCAGAAAAAGAAAGGAGCAGGTCCAACAAGATTCTAACACCTAGGACTAGAACTGATTAGGCCCAAAGATCTAGAAGGGGTGGACAGTGGGGGAAAGAAAAGAACTTAATTTGCAGAAACTACACACCCTACCATGGGAAACTTCTCCAGAAAAACTCTTTGAAGATGAAATTTGAAAAACCTTCCATATTAGGATTAGATGCTTTGCTTTGTCACTAGAATTTCATTCCCTGAATGGACTTGCTAAGCAAGTTTCAGTGCCCGGATCCCTTTCCCAGGCCTGGTATAGCTTTCACTAAAAATGGGTAAATTGTGGCTGTGTTTGTAAGAAGTCATTTGGTTTTTATCTGTGGTATTGTGGCATCTTCTTCTCTAATACAATCTGTCCATATTGCTAGTCACGTCGTCTTGGTACATTGATGTGTAGCCTTAGTGTGTTAGAAGTTTCTGGAAACCATTGGAAAGCCAAGGAAAACTTTGAGTACCAACATTTTATATGAAAGCATCCACTTAGCACTTCCCTTACTTTCTTTAGGTAGTGACAACTTAGCATAGCAGATAGGATACAAAGCTTTAGCAGGGTAATCATGTTGCAAAGGAAAAACAATAAAGAACCACACTAAATAGAACTGATAGCCCTGGCCGGTTTGGCTCAGCGGTTAGAGCGTCAGCCTGCGGTCCACAGAGACCTGGGTTCGGTTCCCGCTAAGGGCATGTACCTTAGCTGCAGTTTGTCCCCGGCCCTGGTTGGGTCGTGTGGGTGGCGGCCACTCGATGTGTCCCTTTCACATCGATGTTTCTCTCTCTTCCTCTCTCTCCTTCCCGCTCTATCTGAGTAAAAAATGGAAAAATGTCCTCGGGTGAGGACAAAATAAATAAATAAATAAAGCCATGGTGTTTTTTTAAAAAAAAGAACTGATAAAAGTGAAAATATCAATAAATTAGCTTTCATGTTTACATAATCAGCTTCCTACGGAATTAATTCCATAGAACTTTCTGGGAAAATTCTAATATCAAGCTATAGTGAATCTAAGTTTATCTAAATATTTTAGCTTAACCATTAACTAACCTATGTTGTATCAGTGTCAGAACTGTTCCCTTCATCCGTGTTTATGAAATTTAGGATAGTAAAATGTGTAGCTTCTCTCCACCCCAAAGACCAGCATTAGATGAATGAGGAAAAAGAGCACAGGAAATGCCTTGATTTTCAGAGATCTCCTGTAATGAATGTTCTGTTTTCACCAAATGCTAATTTTCCAGATAATATTCCTGAGTACTGGGCTGATATGAATCAGCAGCTGTTTTGTGTGATCCAGCTACAACCCGGACAGTCAGAATATGAAAGTGTGAAGCACAGATTCTCTCAGACTTGTCTTTCCTACAGAATAGAGAAGGTAATATTGCATTTAAAAAAAGGCGTCTTTTAAGTATTGAAGAACTAACATGAAAGTTACCTTTTAATATAACACTCTTTATTCATTATAAATGAATACTGCCGGGTTAGGCGGTATTTCTCCTAACCCATCCTTATCACTATGAGGGGTAATGATTTGCTTTCTTGTCTTTCTCCCCCACTACACTGAAAGTGTCTTGAGGGCAGAGACCCAACACAGTGCTTGATTCATACTAGATGTTTAATAGATGCTTAGTAAATGTCTATTAAATTCATTTTCTAAAAGAAAGGAAAACCAGTAGAGAATGATTTTCTGGGGAAAAAAAAGTTAAAGAAGAACAAAATTTTAAGGAAGGAATGGTTCATGGTTTGAAATGCTACTGAGCTCTCTGGAAAGAAGTAGTCATTAAATTAGGCAGTTATGAGGTGATTTGTGACCATAATTGGAGCAATGCAGAGAGAACTATTATTGGGATATCAGAAGGAATTAACAAAATAATTATTAAATTATTACAATTTTTTTTAGTAGAAATTTGAATGTCAGTAAATTTCCAGGAATTCCAGGGAATATATATAGGTAAACATTTTTATATAAATTATAAGTTTTTTCTGCAAAATAGGTAATAATGACCACTATTACAACATACAGGTACTTTTAGCCTATTCTTTTTTTAAAGGCAAAAGGCTACTGTTAAACAAAAACAAAAACAAAAATTTTAAGCTCCATAGCTGGAAGTCTTTTTGAAAGGTTTATTGGGCCATTGCTTGTAAGAAAAAAGACGAGGTCCTGAGGCATGAAGTCTAAACCTCCAGCAGCAGTGCCCGGTGGAAAAGGCAACATGCCCGCCCTCCTGGGGATGTGGAGCATTTTCATACATCAGGCAAGGGGAGGAAGATGTAAGTTGTTTTGAAAGGATTTACATTGGTAGGAGGGGTGGGAGAAGATTCTGGGATAGGCGCAGAATCTGTAGGGAAGAAGGGTCTGCTCCTTCGGATTGGAGGTGGGCAGCAGTCTGGAAAGTAAACAAGAATCCGAGGCTCCTGGGGTCTGATGGTGCCTGGCTATTCTCTCTTTTAGATCATCTCTAAAAGAGATGAATTAAGATGGAAGTTAACCCACAGTTCCAACATACACTCAGGAACGTGAGCAATCTTGTTAGGTGTTCTGTCTCTCTCTCACCGTCCAGCCTACTGTAATTCAGTTTAGAACATCTCCGAATTTTTCTCTTGTCATCACCTACTCCGAATTTGCCATTTATTTGCATTTTCTTCTTCTCCTCCTTCTCTCTATTGCTTAAAGGCCACAATAAACACTATACTGAACTCTCAGGTCATTTCCAAAATGTTTTGCTCTTCGTCATTTGCAGATTGAGAGGATACAGAATGAATTTCTCTGGCAGACCTACCAGATAAAGAAAAAACACATGGACATGAAGAATGGCCATACAAATAATGAGAAAATCCTCTTCCATGGGACAGATGCAGACTCAGTGCCACATGTCAATCAGCATGGCTTTAATCGTAGTTATGCTGGGAAGAATGGTAAGGAAGTGAGTAATTGGACTGATCAGAATGAGGCAAATGGAAGTTCCAGTGTTGACTATTCATATTCAAACAGCGTAGCCACAGGTGGAAGCCATATATACCGTCATTGTCAGGATAGAGCTCATCCTGTTTCACCCAAACAGAGACTGGCAACCTTCTGAGGACAGGTGGAGTGAATTTTAGAAATGATGAAGAGTAGCTTTGGTGACCAAGAACTGCATTAAAATCTTATTTAATTGTCAGGTTTAGGCATGGTTCTACATACTATGGTAAGTTTATGTTCTTATGAAGGGTTTTGTCTTTCTTTTCACAGCCGTAGCCCATGGAAAAGGAACTTATTTTGCTGTTGATGCCAAGTATTCTGCTGATGATACTTACTCCAGACCAGACAGCAATGGGAGGAAGCATATTTATGTTGTACGAGTACTTACCGGAGTCTACACACTTGGGCATAAAGGATTAATTACTCCTCCATCAAAGAACCCTTACAATCCCACAGATCTGTTTGACTCTGTCACAGATAACATACAACATCCAAAGCTATTTGTGGTATTTTTTGATAATCAAGCTTACCCAGAATATCTCATAACTTTCAGATGTTAAAACATAGGATTTAAAAAAAATTTCAGAGGTGATTTAGTCATCTACTTCTTTATATCTTTTTTTTTTTAATCCTCACCTGAGGATATTTTTCCATTGCTTTTTGGATAGAGTGGAAGGGAGGGAGGGAGGGAGAGAGAGAGAGAGAGAGAGAGAGAGAGAGACATCAATGTGAGAGAAACACATTGATTGGTTGCTTCCTTCATGACCCCTACCTGGCTGGGGATCAAACCTGCAACCCAGGTACATGCCCTTGGCCAGGAATCGAACCCACGATCCTTCAGTCTGCAGGCTGATGCTCTACAGGCTGAGCCAAACCAGGCAGGGCAGTCATCTACTTATAAGAACAATTTATAGAGTTTTTGTCTTTGCCTTTGGCTTGTTTACACAGATTAAAAAGAAAATCCATAGGAGAACAGAGAGCACATTTTTTTTAATTGGAAAAGAAAAACAGTGAATCATTCTAAAGCCAAGTTGTCATTGTTCTTATTGGAATATGTTAAGACAGTAAACTGTGTTGCACTAAACCATACTATTAAACAAATAGGCTGCTATTGTGCACCTGTAACAGCTGGGGATTTTGCTTCCTGAAGAAACACTTATTAGTAACAGAATGACTGAATCAAAGAATATTATGTCAAATCTATTGTGAAACAAATCAGGTAAAAATATGTTGTATGGATATCTAATGCTACATGACAAATTACTGCCAAACTTAGTGGCCTGCAGGTAAGGAATTCATTCAGGCATGGCTCAGCTGAGTCATTCTGACCTAAGGTTTGTCATGAAGCTGCAGTGAAGATGTTGGAGGGCATGCAGGCATCTGAAGGCTTTGCTGGAGCTGGAGGATCTGCTTCCAAGGGGAATCACTCAAATAGCTGGCAAGTTTTTGCTGGTTGTTGACAGGATGCCTCAGTTCCTCTCCACATGGGCCTCTTGGCAAGCTGCTTTAGTGTCTTCATGACATGTCAGCAGGCGTAGGCCACAGTGAGCAATTCAGGAAAGAAAAGGCGGAAGCCACGATGTCTTTTATGGCCTAGCTTTAAAGTTATACTCCATCCTTTCCACAATGTCCTTTCAGTTACATGAATCAGCTCATTCGGTGTGGGAGGGAATTAAACAGGGTTGAACATCAGTAGGCAAGGGTCATTGGGGACCATCTTGGAGGTCATATGAATGAGTGAATGAATGATAAATTGGTAATATTAGAAGTGAAAAGGACACTAGATATCAACTAGTCCCACTTTCCCTTCATCTTTCTCCCTTTTCCATCTCCCACTCCTAGGGCAAAAAGCTCTCTAGCCTCTGCTTGACCACTTCCAGCATGCATGTCTTTTTTTTTTAATTTTAAATCTTTATTGTTGTATGTATTAAAGGTGTTCCTCATTTTTCCCCCATTGACCTTCTCCTCCCCCTTCCCGCCCCCCTTCCCACCTTTTCCCATACTATTGTCTGTGTCCATTGGTTATGCACACAAGTTCTTTGGTTTATTTCTTCCCACCCCCCACCCCCTTACCCTCTGAGGTTTGTCATTCTAGCAATGAATTTGTACTTCTTAATCCTTTCACCTTTTTCACCCATTCCCCCAGCTCCCCTCCCATCTGGCAACCAACAAAATGTTCTCTGTATCTATGAGAATGATTCTGTTCTGCCTGGTCATTTTGTTTGTAGATTCCGTTGTCGATACATATGTATTCATTGCCATTTTGTTTGTTCATATATTTTATCTTTTTCTTCAAAAACACCCTTCATCATTTCATATAATAACGGTTTGGTGGTGATAAACTCCTTTCACTTTTTCTTGTCTGGGAAACTCTTTATATGGCCATCGTTTCTAAATGACAGCTTTGCAGGATAGAGTAATCTTGGTTGTAGGTTCTTGCTTCTCATCACTCTGAATATTTCTTGCCACTCCCTTCTGGCCTGCAAAGTTTCTTTTGAGAAATCAGCTGACAGCCTTATGGGAACGCCCTTGTAGGTAACTAACTGCTTTTCTCTTGCTGCTTTTAAGATTCTCTCTTTGTCTTGAACCTTTTGCATTTTGATGATGATGTGTCTAGGTGTGAGCCTCTTGGGGTTCATCTTGTTTGGGACTCTGTACTCCCTGGACTTGTATGTCTTTTTCCTTCACCAAGTTAGGGAAGTTTTCTGCCATTATTGTTTCAAACAGGTTTTCAATTTCTTGTTCTCTCTCTTCTCCTTCTGGCACCCCCAAGATGTGAATGTTGGCACGCTTAAAGTTGTCCCTGAGGCTCCTTACACTATCCTCATTTTTGTGGATTCTTTTTTCTTTTTGCTGTTCTGATTGGGTGTTTTTTTTTTGCTTCCTTATATTCCAAATCAATGGTTTGCTTCTTGGATTTATGTACTCTACTACTGAATCTGTGTAAATTATTCTTTATTTCAGTTAATGCCTCCTTCATTTCTGACTGTGCATCCATCATTTCTGACTGGTCCTTTTTTATGCTCTTGAGGCCCTCACTAAGTTCACTGAGCATCCTTATAAGCAGTATTTTGAACTCAGCATCTGTTAGGTTGCTTATCTCCATTTTGCTTAGTTCTTTTTTTTTTTTAATCCTCACCTGAGGACATCCTTCCATTTTCACTCAGATAGAGCGAGAAGGAGAGAGAGGAAGAGAGAGAAACATCGATGTGAAAGGGACACATCAAGTGGCCGCCACCCACACGACCCAACCAGGGCCGGGGACAAACTGCAGCCAAAGTACATGCCCTAAGCGGGAACTGAACCCGGGTCTCTCTGGACCGCAGGCTAACGCTCTAACCGCTGAGCCAAACCGGCCAGGGCTCGCTTAGTTCTTTTCTTGTGATTTTGTTCTGTTCTTTCATTTGGGACCTGTTTTTTTGTCTCCTCATTTTGTCTGCCTCTCTGTGTTTGTTTCTGTGTATTACTTTTTTTTTTTTTTTATCCTCACCCGAGGATATTTTTCCATTTTTTGTACAGATAGAGTGGGAGGGAAAGAGAGGAAGGGAGAGAGAGAGAGAGAAACATCGACGTGAAGGGACACATCGAGTGGCTGCCACCCGCACGACCAACCAGGGACGGGGACAAACTGCAACCGAAGTACGTGCCCTTAGCGGGAACCGAACCCGGGTCTCTCCGGACCGCAGGCTGACGCTCTAACCGCTGAGCCAAACTGGCCAGGGCTGTTTCTGTGTATTACAGAATGAGCGGTATGGGGCTATCTGAGACCAGATGCTGCTTGTTTGAAAGAATTTAGGAAAACCTGAAGCAGGATCCAAGACAGACCAAGCTTATGGTTAAGCAACTGGCAACAGCTTGGGTGGGCCTGAAAGTTGGGTGGGGCAGGTCCTTAGGGAATCACCAGGGCGGGGCTACCAGTGTGAGCCATGTTGCTGGAGTCCCAGATATGGCGACTGTCTGCTGCCCCAGGGCAGGGTTCACCAAAGGGACAAAGGCCTCCCACAGCACATTTGTCCCAGAGAAAGCCCCCTCTCCAGCCCCCACTTCAGTGCCAAGCAGCTCAGTTCTTCCCTGTATGTCTCTGATGCCCCTCAAGCTGCCTCCCCTCCAAGCTTAGAGGGAGAGAGTCCAAGAAGTCCGTGCGCAGATCCTTTAAGGAGCTGCCTGGGGCTCCAGCCGCCTCAGCCTCCCTGAACCTCAGTTCCCGCTGGTTTTTCCAGCCAGAAGTTATGGGGACTTATCTTCCTGGCACTGGAACCCTGAGCGGGGTGTCTGGTGTGGGACGGGGACCCCTCAGTCCTCAGGGAGGATCTTCCCAGCCGAGGTGTCCTCCTGATTTTTATGTGCCTCCGCTCCTTTTACCAGTCTTGATGCGGCTGCTGCTTTAATTCTGTAGTTGTAGGACTTCCATTCTGCTTGATTTCAGGTGGTTTTGAATGATGGTTGTTCTGTAGTTTAGTTGTAACTTTGATGTGGTTGTGGGAGGACGCGATATTGCATTTACCTACGCCGCCGTCTTGACTGGAAGTTCCCAGCATGCAGTGTCTTGAGAGAACCTATTCCATGCTGGGACAGCTCTAACTATCAGAAAACTCTTGCTTATCCTGAGTTGAAAGCTATTCTTCTATGTCTACTACTTGCTGATCACTGTCCTATCTGACACAGAACATACCTCATTTCTTTTATAGATGGTGGTCCTTCAGATTCATCCCTTGTATTAGAGTTAGGTAAATTCTTAAAATATTTAGCAGCTTATTTATCCTGAAACATTACTTTTCAAGAGTTGCAGACATTTAAGAAGTATTTACGTTATCATAAATAAAGCACATGCATATTTAAAGAGTACAGAAAAGTATAACAAAATCCTCACCGAACTCCATCACCCATGATTGCAATGCTCTGAGGAAACCACTGCCAGTGTTCTTATGTACTCCTTTCTGCTTTCTTCCTTTCATTTATTTTTTTGTTAATCCTCACCCAAGGATATTTGAGAGAAAGAGAGAGAGAAAAACAGAGAGAGAGAGAGAGATGTAAGAGAGACACATCGATTGGTTGCTTCTCAGACGTGTCCTGACTAGGATCCAGGGGTCAAATCTGCAACCCAGGCACGTGCCCTTGACTGGGAATCAACCCCACGACTCTTCGGTGTATGGGCTGGTACTCTAACCACTGAGGACATCGACCAGGGCTCTTTTATTTTTTTTAAAGATAGTTTATTGATTTTTAGAGGAGAGGGAAACATCGATGTGAGAGCACAATATCAATCAGCTGCCTCTTGCAGGCCCCCTACTGGGGATCGGGAATCAGTCCACAATCTGGGCATGTGCCTTTGCCAGGAATCAAACCGGCAACCTTTTGGTGCACAGGATGATGCCCAAACAACTGAGCCACACTGGCCAGGGCCCTTCTAGTCTCTATATCCATCTTCAAGAAAGTAAAAATCACACTTTATTCATTTAAAATAACACTTTATTAAATCCCGTATCTACATTTTTTCACTTAACATTACAAATATTTGTCTGTTACTAATTTTTTTCCATAAACAATCTTAATGGTTGAGT